TTTAAAATACATATCAGGAACTTGTCGTTAATATATATATATATATATATATATATATATATATATATATATATATATATATATATATATATATCGGGTACCCATCGGGGTCGGTTTCGGGTACGAGTATGAGTCCTCGACAGGTAGAACCATCCCATCCATGATTTTTGCATTTGGGTAATACCCATCCTCGTCCCCGTCTCTGGTTAAATCGAGGATTTACCCGGTCAACTCGGGTTAGGGTTTCGAGTACCCATCGGGTACAGTTTTTTTTTTGCCATCTCTGTGTGTGTGTGTGAGAGAGAGAGAGAGACAGAGAGAGAGAGAGGGAGAAAGAGACAGACAGAGAGAGAGGGAGAGAGAGAGAGAGACACACACACACACAGAGAGAGAGAGAGAGAGAAAGGACCCTATCATTTTTTAATTATTAAAACGAACAAATAATTATTAAAATTAAAAAAAATGAATTTAAAAATAAAAAAAATACCCAAGGACATTAAAGTTATTTCAGTTACCGACGCATCAAATCCGCAATGAAACAAGCTCAAAAGATAAATCCAAAAAATTCGAAGTTTGAAATAAACCTTAAAAAAATACATACTATAGAAACTATTTTTGCAATATTGTCTTTTATAGATTAAAAAGTGATTTTTTTGATGTATCTTATGTTAAAAAGTCGAGTGTTACGTATTTATAAATATTTTTAAAATTAATAACTTAATATATGTGAATAACCTTTTCATCATCATAAATAATAACTGTAGTAAACTTGTCAAATTCAATCTTGTTTTTTGTAAGGAACAGTCATTTACACGAACTTTTGGAAACACATGAACATGATCTCATAGAGATCTTGTCTATCTCACTTTTCCAAAAGGAGTCCATTGTATGGGGTCCTTTAAATGCAATGTGCAAACCATTGTTAGATTGTTGAATAAGTGTGTATTTGATGACCTCTTAGATTTATATAGAAATCAAATTGTTATTTGTTTATATGTTTTATAATCAGATTTGATATATCAAACATCTATAATATATATATATATATATATAAAAATAAAGAAAACACAATCAATTATACTTCTATATACAGAAAAACGTTATATTATTTTTATGTTTATAAACTTTTTATGTTATTATTTACATTTCAAATAGAACCAAATTGCAAATTTTTAAGAGAAATGATCAATTAAAAATATGATATGAGATACATATTCTTTATATTTGATGATATATGAAAACATGTCAAAACCTACATCTATTTTGATTATTTTTGCTTGATTGTGTTATGTATATGAAACTATAGGGTTTATTTTTTTCCTCCTTAACTAATCGTGTTTATTCCAGGGAACATCAATATCATATTAAAAAACAAAAAACCGTAAGAAACATCATATTATTAGTCGATGATTTTTCTACATAACTCATATTTTGGTTTTTTTTCGAATGGTAATTATATAACAGGTTTTTCTAAACATAAAAATAATATATGAGTTTTCTGCATATAAATATATAATTGGTTAAGTTTTTTTGCATATATCCCTAATAATAAAAATAATTGATAACCAAACATGAGTGACCAATATTAAAAATATAATATTCTCATGCTCAACGATGTTTTTATAACCTTTTTAAGCATAGGTTTTAAAAATATTAAAGGACACCAAATGATAATCTAAAGAACTTTTATCCAAAAATTTGAGCAACTTCCAAGGATCAATAACTATAGTTAAACTAGTTGTAACAAAATGGTTGAAGTTGTAATTCAATATTTGGATTATACATTTTCTACATGATCATCTTATCATATGATTTTAACAATTTGTAGGTTATGAGTTTTTGGTGCTCAAGTAAAAAGGTTTTTTTTTTTTTTTTTTTTTTTTTTTTTTTTTTTAAATAATTATTTTATTCTTTTTTTTTTTTCTAATTTTTTAAAAATTTTAAAATTTAACTTTCAGTTATTTATTTATTTATTTATGGATTTGGATTATTTAATTAAAACAAGATTTTTATGCTAAATATAAAATTAATTCTAATATATAAAAGTGTCCGCTTTTATTATTTTATCTATCGATAATTTAAGAAGAATTTGCAAAACATTAATATAACCAATTATAAGATTATTAAAACCACATGACGAAAACAAAAAAGTAAAGATCAAATGTAAGTTGTTAAATATTATGCGAATGTAAAACTTATTGTGAAATGTGAACCAATAAATTTAAGGGCATGATGGTAATTTAACTAATTAAATTAATTAATTTTTAATTATTCATTTAAAATTCGGATTTTGACTAAGTTGTCTAAAATTTAGTTAATCTTTTAAAATAAGTTATATATTCACACAATAAATGTTATTTATATTTGAATAAAACCCACATAACAAAAACACATCCCAACACTATTTTTCGAAACTCTAAGGCTTTTTGGTTCGCTATTCAAACAAATGTCTTTGTGGGACCAATCAGAGATATTAAAAAAGGATTATTGTTTGATTTCATTTTAAATTTCTTCAAATAGGCTTGCTAGTTGCTTCTTCAAAGTGAATTGCATATTGATAAAAAAAAAAATAAGGGGTTCCGATTTCAAGCAATGGTGCACCATCTTTGGACAGTCACAACCTATGATATTTACAACACTTTGTTACTATGTTAATCGAAAACTGATAAGCAATTGGAGCAAAAGAGTTAAGGATTTGGGGAAATTTGTTTGGATTTTGAATTGGTTTTGTTGATTTCATGTTGTGCTTGTTTAATGCCAGGAAATATAGGGGAAACCGGATGTTCGAAAGTAAATTCTATCATTTGTATTAGACCTAACCCGCTTCAAAATTTGTTCCATTTACAAACGATTAATTCGGTGTGCCCATGCTCATCTGACCTCTTACTTGATTGTATTGTTAGGGTTTAAGCACTTTAACGACGATCTCACACATAATAATAATGTAAACAAAAAAAAAGAACACAATCAATGTATGTGGTTCACATGATCAACATGATCAACTACGTCTACTACGAACACAAGAGATAGTTTTTACTGATTTTTGTTGAATGGCTTACGTACATTAGGTTACATGAATTCAAAGAATATAAATACTAGTGACTTGACCTAAAACTCAATCTCATTGATTGGTCTGGTTAATTGCTATAGAGTCAAAAGGTGAATCAGGCTTCATAACTCAACATGTATATAAGTCGAAAACATAGGAAATAGTAGAAGTAATGCGAATTAACGAAAGTATTGGTATCTCTTTTACAATCTGCTTATTTTGAAGAATACATGGTCTCTAAATTGCTTTTATTTATTTATTTATTTATTTAAAAGATTAGAGAAAAGACAAAAAACCAAATCCTTCATGTGTTAGTATGCCAAGGCAGTGAAATAGCCGATTGTTTTGATTGGTGTGGAAAAAGTTGTTGCTCTTTTTATGGATTTGAAAGGATTTATCTTGAACTTAAGAATGAAAATCTTTCTGGTCAATGGAATAAAGCTACATAAAAGGATTTATATTGTCACCTTTTTTTATGTACCTTTGATTTCTTGGAATGTTTAATTATTGATTTGCAATTTAATTTTAGCTTTTTTTTCTCTTTTTATTTATTGATAAGATAATTCACCATTCCGTGCAATACTTGTTTTTAGTTTATGTGGTTTCTAACTTCTATCAATTATGGATTATAGTCATTTAGAGACTGACTAAACAACATGTTTTCATTAATAGACAGATTCATTCAGTCATCTTAATCATTCAGAGGTTCGAAAACAACCCCACATTCTCTTATTAACTCATTATATATCTTATTCTATTACACCAAATAACCACTTTCAAAAAGCAATTTGGGCGTTAGATAATCAAATTCTCAAAATCCAATTATTTTAGCTATCATAAAAAAAGTCAAGCATTTGTCAACCTTGCAAACTTTACTATTCCAAATGTAATTAATTATAATGGAAACTGTTTATTCTGAAGCATAATTAAATTTGTCAAACATCAAAAAACTTCATTATTACGATTTAATGTCACAATAGATAGATTTGCATACATCCAAACACCTTCCTAATAATCAACAAAATGAGACAAAATTCCTAATAAAAATATCTACATGACTCTTAAATCAAATTAGCACCACCATCATAATCACCATCACCATCATATTTAGTTTTCCAAATTAAGTTGTGTCACGAATTTTGTAACACTAAGGGGCAGTTTGAAAGTTAATGATTGAGTCAGATCTGATTGAGTCAGTTAATTATGTTATCAAACAGTCTGAATCTGATTGAGTCAAACCCAAACTCTTACCAGACCTGGAAGAGGCATATCAAACAGCCCACATTGCAGTTAAATGGGTTACAAGTAGTCCCCAAATGTTAGTTAAGAGTAAATCAATTAAGTTTAAGAATTTCAAGCTTGATTAATCAGCCAAACAAATGTCATTGTGGAAACTTATGTGATGTGATCTATTATAAATGCTAGTCAAATTTCAAAGTTAGGTCTTCAATCAAAATCACAAGCCCTAATGGCTTGATGTCAATTGCATATGATTTGATCATCCCATCTGTTAAAATTCAAAGAGAAACCTAAAATTCCCAAGCTTTTTATCGGAATTGACTTCATATTTAAATTCAATTGAGATATTACAACATTGTATCAAACTTTTATCTGTAAAGAAATTAACTTCCATCAAATTTCAACATATTATTTAGGGAGGGATGAAATTATACGATAGATGAGAAAGATGAAGCATCAAATCGGAATTCATAAATAATTTCAAACAGATTTCATCATCACAGTACATATCGAGTTCACTATCATGTAAATTTGCCTTTTTATAATACGCAGATGAACAAATTAAAAAAAGGGGAACGACACGAATTCAATGTCAAAAAGAGATGACAACATGATAATGATGATTATAAGAAATAAACAAAGAGATACACGAAACACGTACGCGATCGATCTATTGAAATCACCATCGAAATGAAGCGATGCGATGAAACAATCAAACAGTCTTGACGATTGTGGAACTGGAATCGGTTTGATCTGAAGGAGTAGGGTTTGGATTTAGAGGTAGGCGAGGATCGTCGTCGTCGGGATCATAATCCGGATTCAGAGTACGATCAATGGCTTCACGGCCTTGATCGAGGCAAGGTTTGCAGGCGATTTCGATGGTGATCCAGCTTAATGCCAAACCTACTATGGCTATCAGTGATGCCGTCAATGCCCCCATTGATGTATCTCCTCTCGTTTCTCTCGAGTTCCCTTTTCTACTTCTTCAGTTGAACAAGTGAAAAATAAGTGCAAAACAAATCTTGATTTGTTGGACCAGAATTAGAGTAAATTTACACGGTTAAAAAGGGATCATTAAAGTCTTAATGTCAAAAAATAATAAATAGTAAATTACAATCTATATGGATTGATCCAATTTGTGCATTATGTTTTTCATTCATACCGTTTCTGGTTAGCTTTAAATTTATATGTTTAAATCTGACAATGAGATACATGATAAGGGTATTTTTATTACAATCTATTGATCCAATTTGTGCATTATGTTTTTCATTCATACCGTTTCTGGTTAGCTTTAAATTTATATGTTTAAATCTGACAATGAGATACATGATAAGGGTATTTTTATGAGTTTGTGTTTCGTGTTGACATAAATTTTAAATTCTTATTTCGTGTCTAACATTGTCAGACACAAATTTATCTGTCTAAACACGTATAAAACATAAATTAAATTTGTGTGAACGTAATGCGTATATACACGTATAGTCATGTGGCACATGATAAGTATAAACACGAATTAAATGCATGTTTTTTTTTGTAGACAATGTATGTATAAATTCGTATAAATCCATGTTTTTGTGTAACATGGTTAAAAATGTGTCGTCCCATGTCACATGTAACACAGATTAATTACGTGTTATGTTTGATATCCAAAACATATTTTACTATTCATGTCGTGTTGGTGTTTTACAAACACATGTCTGACATATATAATGTTACATCCCGAAAATCAAGACATACAAAATTTTGTTTTTAGATTAATAAATCGTTAATATAGATTGTTTTCATAAAACCAGAGTAACTAATATTTATCAAAACATCATTAAACCAGAGTAATTCACAGAATGCGGAAACATGTGGTGTGTGCTCTGCAATCATCTCCAGCTCTTCTATTTGAAAACCAGAGTACTTGAAACATAAACTGAAAACTGTAAGCACAAAACTTAGCGAGTTCCCCAAAATACCATACCACATACAACCACATATTATCATGCATATACATATAGTTGTCATGGGCTCCCTCATGGTCTTTATCTATTATGTCCTGGGCTCCCCCATGGTCTTTACCTGGAATGTCATGAGCTTCCCCCCTATGGTATGACATCCAATTGCCACGAGCTCCCCTCAGGGTCTTCCATGCAAGTATTACGGAGACAACTAGCATACCACATAACATGTAATGGGCCAACATTGATGCTTTCGACCCATGGATATAATGAGGGGACTCACCTCGCACTGTTGAATCATACAAAAACACCCTTGGCTGCTGGTTGACAGATCCTCGTACTATCAATAACAAAACAACACCCAATTAAAATTTAGGTTCTAACCCCTAACCACAACTCCCTACCTCGGGTAAAAAAACCATTTTACCCCTAACCTAGCCTTGTCCACATCTAAGACCTAGCCTTACAATATGAAAGGCTCAAAGGCCAATAAATCAACCAATGGCCCAATTTTCAAAATTGGGCTTAAACCCCTCACATGGGCCTTACCTTAATGCCCAACCATTCTTTCTAGTCCAAAACACTTTGTATTCCGATGCCCCATTAATAACCCAAACACTCAAACCCAAACTACCAAAAATCACTCGTGGCCCAAACCATGGCCCAATTTTCCAAAATCCCCATGGGAATTTGTCAAAACCATAATCACTAGACAGGGTTAGTGACAAATCCAAACTCTTATGGATTGAACTTGTGCAGTCTTAACTTCTTGCCATCTGGCAGCACAAGGGCCTTCCGTTGCTTCCAAGTTGTTATGCAACCAATTAAGAACTCTCAGAACTCATATGCAAAGCCAACTTTAACTGGAATGGGCACAAAAATAGGAATATGTCAACACGATAGGTTATAAACCTCAAGTCATGTGCTAGTGATAAACTATAGGTTTTTCTTCTTGATTAGATCTAGAAGCTTTTCAGGATCTTTAAGACTCCCACTGTCCTCATGACATATAAGACTCACTTGCCCAATATTCAATAAATAGTGCGGATTCTTTACCAAGACAAACACTTCACACAATTGGCCTTAGTTGGTCTTTGTTTTATACAAAACATCACAAGCTACCAATTTTAAATGTACAAGAGTAGGACACATTTTACTCTTACATTTGACAAGTGTTATAAACCTTTCTTTAAGATATGTCACTCAAGTTACAATCTTGGACTATGACTCTAAGATTTGTTTTTGGAACGAAGTATGACTCATCTTCTTGATTTAACAACCACTTCAACAATTCATGATTCCTCTTCTTAGCCATAAGAATGCACTAAGATGTCCTTAGAGAACCAATTGTGATATGGTTTCTTAATAATTAAGATGATCACAAACATGATACTAAAGTACTCTCCCATCTTTTTCAGATTTAAGAAACTTTTATCTTTCTACCTAATTTTATTCTTCTCATTCGTCCTGCAATACATCGAAACTTTTCCAATGTTTCAGAATTATACTTAAAGTGGTAAGTATAACCATAGTAAATCATGATGAATAGTCTTATCGATCTTTTGTGGTGGACCTTGACCAGTGCACAAGAATGTGTACTCGATCCCTTAGTCCTTCACTTGACTCACATATACATGTAAACAAGGAATTAGTCTTAATTTTCAAAAGATGAAAATTCTCATTCATCATACTATACAACTTGCATGATTCCAAGTTTCGGTCCAATTGAAACTTGGTTGATGAGAATATTCTTTATTTGGTAAATTTAGAAACTACCATAAATGAAAGAATCAAATTCATATTTCCATTATTGCTAGAAATATACAAACATCAATTTTCCATAAAATGCCATTGCAAGTAGATATAATAAAATAAAACAAAATTTTATTTATTTATAAATGCGGAAGGAACTTTTCTTACAATGCAACTTTAAATGAAAACTATGCTATTACATATTTTCAAGCAATCTATCATAACTCCTAAGTAGTAGCCCAATAATCTGATCTTCGAACCACACGATTGAAATCCATCTTCGCGATCAGATTCAACATACTCTTTCTCTAAGTTCCCTTCCCTTTGCTTGATCCTGCCATACATCAAAAATGTATTAAGAATATTCAAATAGGAACTTAAGAGAGTTATATAGTGGACTTACGTGAAGCAGAGTCAAGTTTTTGACTAGACCTTAACCTAGATCTTTCAGGTAGTTAAGGCAGCTTTGCAACCAATGCCCATTCCTTTGGCAACAGAAACATATGGACCCTTTGGGAATGGTGCACTGGACTATCTCATACCTGCCTTTCTCTTTACCATTTGGTCAACCAAGTTGACTATGGCCGATCCCTTTCCATTGGGAATAGAAAGCTTTTCTGGATATCTAATATTACCAATTGTCAATGTCTATTGAAGTCTGGGAAGTTGATCTTCTAATCAAATTTTCTTATCAGAGCTCCAAATCATTGCTGATTCAGTAGCACAAAACAAATAGATAAGATAATTAAGGGTCATGTCATAGTCTTTTACATAGTAGTTCATAAAGAAACTCACTATGTGACTTAGAAAGTGATTGAACAACCAACTTTCTCAAGACTTTGACACCCAACTCTCCCGGCTTGTCAATATGTGACTTCATCTCCAAGATGTGATCACACATAGACATTTCTTGCCAATAGGAATTGAGTGACCTTGAACTTGTAGGATAGGGAGGATAATTGGAGGAGGTGGAGGAATTGAAGTATGATTTCCATGATCATCATCTCCATTAGGAAGGCTTATTCCAAGAGTTTTGGGAAGATCATAATTGTCTGAACCAGACATCTTTTGGGAGATATTCAAGATAGTTGATTTAAAGTCCTTAATATAACACCCAATATGAAATATTAAGCGTAGGACACAACAAAATATTTTATAACTTGGAAGAGGGATACCGTAATCCAAGCTATAAAATATTTGAAGGTAGGTGAATGACGATTCACCAATTTCCACCATGAAAAATGAAATAATTATTTGGTTTTAATTGGTTTTGAAACTCCTAGATTCTTTGAGATTCATTGAACTTTTCAATGGCATGTTTCAATCTCGAATGTGCCCTTCAGATTTTATGACTGGAATGCCGATGATCACAAAACAAGGTGTGAAGTAACCATGCAAATTACTTGGTACCCTTAATGTTTACCCTTCAATCGATGTGTCGGTTAAGCACACACGCTCCACTAATACTATGATAAACATTAAGTTACCATTTTCATACCTTGTTAAATCAAGCTAGTGTGCCGGTTAACCACACGCGATCCAATAACCGAATTAAGCAAAGTGCAAAGTGTAATTTCATGGGTTAGCACCTTATTCACATTTTCCTAAAGTAACTAAGATTGGGAATTTATAAAAACATTTAGTTACTTTATATTTATCATTAATACTTTTAATGAAGATTTAAAGTCCTTATCTTACCCGTTCGGCTAACAACCCTCCACTGATCAAGGAAGCGGTGGGTGAGAGTGGATACCCATTAAGCTGCCATTTTATAAGCAACAACCTTATACCCCCTTATAGACTGGCTTCGTGAATGAAGCCTACTAATGGTAAAACGACTTTTTCTAATACATATATAATTATTATTAAATCTATAATATTATAAAGTATAAGGGTTGAATTTTAACTTTTAAAATTATAGGGGTTTGAACTAAAGTTTTTAAGGTGACTTTACATGTTCCAAAACTTGTGGGCAAGTTTTGCAACTTTGAAAAATTTTCATTTTTCATAAATTATGAGTTAAATGGTTTATTAAAATGAGAGACTTTTCATTTTATGTAACCTATGTGTTTCTTTAATGGACTTTAAAGGGATGACTTTTGGTAATCCATAACTTGAGGACAAATTATGGATTCCATTAAAACACATAATGATCAAGAATTAAACTAACAAACAAGTTACAAATAATTCCTATGATCTTCTAAACTCATAAGTTCATGAACTTTCATATCAACAATTTCAAGAATCATAAATAAACCATACAAAGCTTGAAATTTTGATAATAACCATTTATTTGGATGAGAATAAACATTACCATAACATCAAAATCAATTTTTACGAACAAAAACACTTTGCGGTAATGATTCTAATCCAAAACAGGCCAAAAACTAAATTTTTTTCTCCCTTTTCTTTCCCTGAATAGTCACCACCTCGTGGTATAATTTACCACCTTGTGGTAGACTGACAGATTCCAAAAAAATGAATTTTTTATCAAATAGCATCAAGTATCAAGAAAACAAACCTAGGCTCTGATACCACTAAAGGGTTTTGAGCATTCTAACACTCCTGAGGTGTACATATAACCTTAGAAACCTTGGATCTATGTATTACTATGATACATGCAAAATTGTTTTTCCAAGGTTCTTAACCTATCTAGCATAGCATGAGGAACTTTTAAACATAAATACTAGAAGAAGAACATACCTTGTTGTAGTTTGGATTCATTGAGAACCTTATGAGCCTAGCACCTCAAGTGTGATGCCTCAAATGTCTCACACAACACTACAACACTTGGAATAACCTTGAAAGAAGAACACTTAACCTCAAAATTGGCTAGCCCTCTATCTTATACAAGTAGTTCCGATTTTGCTTGCATAGGGATCTTTTTATAGTTGTGGCACAAGAAGGGTTACACCATGTAAACCCTAATTGTCATGGCTTTTCATATTCCATGATCCATGGGTTTGTAATCTCCATGGATTATCCATGGAGCACCTTATGGGTTTTAGCCTAATCCATACAAACCATGGATCATTAGCCCACTATATAATAATAGATTATTTACATAATCAACCCCATATATTTAATTAGTCTCTTTTTGATCACTTAATTAATTTCAAATCAATTCTTTGATCAATACTAATTAAATAATATAATTAATATATTAGAACTTATAATATATTAATAATCCTTAAGTGTCCTTTCTCTCATTTTGTCTATCCAAGTGTTGCAATGCCATGAAACCCAAATAGACCATGCTAACCGGGTCAAGTACATTCCAGGAATAGTCATGAACTTAGACACCGAATCCAACATACCATGCATAGATGATTGATCAAATACGGAAATTTAATGACCTACGCTGAGTGTAGAGTGAGTTACAATGAGTGTAGGTGCACAACACAAAAATCATTATTTCGGGGTTGTGAGCCATATTTAAAGGCTCTATCTCCTTGAGGTCCTCTCC